GTTTGTGATAAAGAAAAAATCTGTGAAATGAAAACCTTTGCATGATCTCGGACGGGTTGGTGCAGTCATGGTTAGTAAGCATTGGCTTACTGACCCCTTCTGTGCTTTCTGCTGAATAACCCATTGTTATTATTGATTTGTAAGGTTATCTTCTCACAATCCAGTTAGATCCCAGTGATAGAGAAAAAAATGCGCATTTTTAGTTCCATCTATTATTCGTGCAGAACCTTATGAGTGTTATCCATAGAAAACCCTCTCCCATGGAATGAAAGGCTTTTCTATAATTTGTCAGTGGTTTATGTTTCCAATGCAATTTTCTGACTGTCTTTGTTGTCATTATATAGATGATATTTCTGCTAGCTGTAGCCACTGAGGATCAGCTGGGTGTGTTAGAGGCTGAAACCAGAAAGAGTCTACAATTCTTTGGCCTAGTAGTTGCTCCTGACACGGTGCAGTGAAAAGTACCCTGGAAATATTTAGGGTTCATGTACACAAAAAGCAGTCATTTCTCAACCAGTTTAATTGGGTATTAATGTTAAAACTCGTACTGACATACAGTAGCTATTAAAGTCTTTAAATTAGATTGCATCGTACTTGCAATTGCCAAACACCCAGCTGGCACCTCTATTTGACCTGCTCAAACATCCTGACAATTTTCAGGAGCAACAGTTGCAGGAGTGGGTGGTCTTACTCTGGCAAAAGATCCCCAAGAGTTAGATTTAATGAGATCACTGTCTGTACGTAACACAAGTGATAATGGGACTCAAACCTATTTTGAGATTATTTCAATCTAGATTAAGTGTTTATCAAAGCCACGACTTGTCCAGCTGGCACAAACTGCCTAGCCTTTACACAAAAGAGCTGTAGAACCTGGGTGAAACAGTAGAACACACAAAGAAAGTAACAGTAACAACTAGTCCTATAGACTCATAGGTTCAATCTATTTTTGGTTCTATGTCTGAATGGGTTTTAAGTTTTGTTAAAGAAAAGCCTACGATAGTTGTTGACAATTGTTGTAATTTTAGTAATAGTTCGTATTGCTTTTTCTTGTATTGTTAAACGTGTAAGTGCTATAACAGAGAAAACATTGTTGGCCCAGAATAAAAAAAAAAAAAAAAGGGGGTATTTGTAGGGAATTGGCTATAGAACACGGCTTGCCTAGGCCGTGGGAACATCTGAGATAGCGAGGTTACAGTGCCCTTGTACTGTGTTAGCTGGCTGGTAAACAGGACACTGTGATTAGCAAAACAAAAGCAACTGAGAGCCACCTGTGTCAACAAAGGAAGGGAGTAAGAGGTGAGATCAACATTTAAGCAGAGCCAATAATGAACTTAGCTTTTGCAATATGTATGAGCTAATTATAAAGCATATATTAAGCTGTTAGCAGTGATCAATAAACGAAGCTTGCTGATTCTCATATTGAGCGTCACTCTCTTCCCTCGTCATGACATTTTTACACTCTAAGATTCTGCATTTAGAGCCAGAGGAACACGTTTCCTTTGAGCCAGGCTTTCCCCACTGTGTAATTCAAAGTTGGAGAACTCGTTTGCCTCCCTGAACTGGTTCCTTTTCGCAGCTCCCCATGCTCAGGTACCTCAGTGCGTGCTCAGGACCTCAAAGCACGAGGCGTCTTCGTGAAGACACCTGTGTCAGGAATCTCAAAACCACTCTTGATAATTTGCTTTTTAAAATTACATAATTGATGGTGATAGTTAAAGAATACAGTTGTGAACCCCTACCCGAGTGCAGCTGTTTTCTTTGGCTTGGATGAAACCTTCAGCCCGTTCATGTAAAAAATCATGGGCCAATTTTGCAAAGCTTTATAAAACTGTCTCTCCAGGTTGTACTGAACCTTTACCTGCAGTGAGTCACTGCTGATGTGCAAGGCAGAATTCAGATAATATTTACAGAGAATGGACATGTCCATGATCGTGGATGTCCTGCAGCAAACAGGGCTGATGTGCAAATGTGTGTGTCAGTGTGTTCTGGAACTTGGTTGTGTAACTGTCTGATGGGATCTGTGAGAACTACAAGTTTGTGTTTAGAAATGATCTCATACCTTGAGAACAACGGAGCATATCTGAAATCCCATGTGGATTTTCAGTTTAGAGGGTCAAAATCACAGATATTTCACAGTCTATTACAATGAAGGCAAGACCAGTCTGATGATAACGAGGGGACTGAGGCTGTTGGACCCAAGACTTGTGTTCCTAATGTTAAATCTTGAAATGTCTAAAGCTGCAACTTTTAATTGACCTGCTCTTCAAAAAATAGCAAAATTAAAGATTAAAATTAAACCCCGCAGTGTCAGGAGCAGATCTTGGCTGACCTGCATGTTCCATGCTAAATACAAAATTGAACACTTCAGCCTTAATGGTCTGCACCTTTCCTGTATTGCCCTGATGCTGTTTGTGCTGAGTAGGTATTAAAATAAGGGCAGTTTTACCTGTCCCTTGTTACTTTTCTGATCTCTTTGGAGCTACCTTTTCTTGGAAGAGCAATATCTGTTTATCTAGCACATGGCAGCTTGATCTCTGTGTTAGGTGGACCTCAGTGGGTTAGATGCACACTGCTGGGACTTGAGGGAAGTTTTAACTTTATGGCTGCCCTGCAGCTGCTCATGAGGGTTGGGGGGGTCAGGAGAACCTCTGTGGTTGAGTCCCAATAACCTTTTCAGCAGAGGAAGCTGTTCCTCTGGGGATATGAAGCCATGTGAAGTATTCTTCTAGAATTGCTTTTGTAGCTTTGACATCTTACATGGAAGAGCATTGGTGTGGTGATACACGTCATCTTGGCCAAAATACTAATTAATCCCAAGAGAGAATCTGATATCAGGTAATAGCTTTTGGGTGTGTGACCTCAGCTTTTGCTGTAGGAGATAGACTGTGCTGGTGGTTGGAGCCAGCAGTGCCAGTCTTGGGGCGCAGGAGCCATGGCCCTTTGATTCAGGGGGTGTTCTGTGTGCCAGAGGCTGTGCTGTGCTGATAGCAGCTGTAATTTTAAAGTCAATATAAGCCACAGCTATTAGACTACCTAAAAAAAGTAATGTCATGTTTATTTTTAGAGTGAGATGGATTTTTTTTGATCACATGGGCTACAACTGCAAATAGTCTGATTAAAAGACTTTGATGTTTATTAAATATAGGAAATACAGGTGTTGACCTGAAAGGTTAATTCTTTTTCAGCCAAGACTTGTATGTCCAAACTCTGTGGTTTGTGGCTCTGGGCATAAACTCCAGCTTTTGTGATTAATTCTGTAGTTTGGTACTGATTGGTTTTTGGATGTTAAAATTGGAAAACTCAAAAATACAGTGGTATATTTGGTAATAGTGGACAAATAACTTGTGTGAATGAAATGTAACGTGTTATCAACATGTTGGTGGCGTTTTTACAAAACTTATTGTTTGGTTCACCTGTTCACTTGCAAGTGGAGAAGTGTCACTAGTGCTGAGTGGTACCATTCTGGCAAACATGAGATTGCTTTTGCAAACTGGTGCTGAGGTCAGAACACAACTGGGTCGAGTCTTTGTCATTGGGAGCAGCTGCTCTGTGGTGACAGAAAGCCATATTAAATATCCTCATTAGAGTTTCTGTGCAACTGCTGTAGCTGTGTGCTCCCTCTGAACTAAAGACAACAGGAACCAACTTGAATGCAGGTGATGAATGTGGAGCTGTAGTTGTGAGTTATTAAAGACAGTTGAGAGCTGTCAGTTGAAAATCTTGCAATATTTAACCGTTCCTGTCTTCATATATTAGATCGTAGTTTTTAAGTGGGTTTTTTTTAGGGAAATGTTACATATAGGGCAGCAGGAGATTTAAAGGGCCTAAGTGAATGTATTGACCTGGTTCATTTTTCATGCTTTGAGTGACTGGTGGAGGCCTCTTGGATGATCAGAGTTCAGCAGCCAGGTTGTGTTTCTGCTAAAATGGTGGGTGGGCACTTTGCACAAGTTCTGTGCTTCCATTTCATAGCAGTTGCTGGAGCACATTTAAATACGTGTTTTAAACCTCTAAATGTAACATTCCTTTGTATATTCTCCATGTTTATGCCAGTTTACTAATATAATTTTTTGTCATTTCCCCTTTTTAAAGGGATCTTTTTGCATAATAATTTCAAATAAATTCCATCAACAAAGAAATGACAATTCTGTTCATCACAGCTTTTCTTCTGTGCGTCTGAGTAAATACCAGTGGAAGAGAAGAATTTAAAGGCTTGCACAGTGTGCTGTCACTGGATAGGGTCATTAATTTTTGTGTATTTGAGGCTATGTTTTAATAGAAGTAGATTCTGAGAGATCACAAGAGAAACAGTTTGCTCATATATGTCAGGAGGATAACTTTTATGGCTATTTTCACACAGTCCAAACTCACAGTAAAAAGGAAGTTCCTGAGTTGTTTCAGAGTTTTAGGTCTTAGTTTAATCTTCCAACCTTTGTTTAAGGTGTCTGTGATTAAAGTTTTGTTGATGTAGATTGCCAATAAGCATTTTCAAAGTCAGGGTTTTACATTCGGGCCTTGCCCATACGGGGATAATTTGGGGATAGAGTAGATAATTTGTTCCCTAGAAATGTGTTACATTATTTGCCCTTCCTCCAGGTGATACCACCTCTCAGCAAAAAGTGTATTTTATTTTATCTTGTGAAGGGCAGGTCGGTTTGCTGAAGTTCATTTCCACTTGATGCCTGCCTGATCGTTTCCAGAAAAATTAAAAAAAAAGGCGGGGGGGTTTGTGGTAATTTCTCAAGGGGTTTGTGTACAGGACTGGGCCTGAATTTCTTGGGTGGTTTGCACAGGTTCTTTGATAACACATCCCTAGTGATACTTGAAAGTTTTTTATAAAATGTCTTTTGTAGCATATGCTGCGATCTGTAATGCTTGTTTGTTTTTTTTTCATTCAGGGATGGGACTTGTGTAATACTCATAGGCTAATGCTTGATTCTTAGGATTTCTTTATTGTTTTTTAATTTTAATTCAAGTGTTTTAATATCCCATTTTCCCTACAGATGTGTGGAGGACTTGATTTACTCACTGTAAGCAAAATAGTTGCTCTTGGTTGAAGGACTGGTAAGTTGTTCTTCCTAATAACATTTACTTTTTAGCTTTTTAAAAACAGCCAATCAAGCAGACAAGGCTCTAATGTTGAACTGGCTGCAGCTTCTGGTTGAATCCATTCTGAAGGTCGTTGGTGCGTGGCCGTGTGCGCACGTGTGTCTCAGAAGGACCCCGGGATCATTCCTGCCAGGCTCTGGGAAATGGGCAATGCTTGGATCGTGCTCTCCCTCTGTCTCACTGCAGAACAGCCTTCACACCTGGCTGGGGTTCTTTGGTCTCCTGGGATTTGACTCCGTGTTTTGTTGAGAGCTTTTCTGTCGTAGGTTTGCTGGTTCAGAAGGGTTGGTGCACAGGTGAGTCTCCAGAGAGGCACTGCACGATTTGGGTAACAAATGGTGTGGAAAGTACAGCAGGAAGAACTTGCCTCTCGTGCATCATGTTTGTCCTTCTGCTTTTGTCAGGATCAGTGAGAGTCTTTGAGCAGACAGGAACTGTCTCCTGTCCTACAGTTGTTCTGTTGCTGTTTTTCATTTGCAAAGGTCTGGCTTTGCACAAAATGATATGTAATGCCAGGACAGTTTTCTGTTTGGTTGGTTTTGGTTTTTTTAAATTAAACTGCTAGCTGATAGACTTCAAATCATTGCTCATATAGTCAAAACACAAAATTGGCAGGCTTGAGTAGAAAAATGAATTCAGTTCTATACTGGAGGAATACAGGAACAGAACCTTCTCCAGTTTCCTGAACTAAAAGGAATTTGGTCTTGACCTTTTGTTGTCCCTGGCACATTTTGTGACTTTCTTGGGGAGCTGCCTGTGGCCAGACACAGGTCCTTTTGTCTTTCTGGCTGCTTAAAATTCAAAACCGCCTCAATTCTGCCTTTTTAATGAGGGCATCCATTGTATTTTTTGTACATGGATGAACTTTTCTTGTGGGAAGCTGTATTCCTGTAGCACTGTGCTTTGGAACATATGCATTTCTTTAAAAGAAGCAGTTTCTTAGAGCCAGTTCTTTCAGTCTGACATGATACCTGATGGAGCAAGGCCTTCCTTAGGCTGCACACAGCTTAGAAAATGTTCCGAGATGCAAATCTTCCTATTTCAGTGGGTAGGGGACAGTGACTTTTAGCTGTCCTGTGGCTGTGTGTGTCAGCAGAGCCCTCCAGCAACCACTACCGTCTGCGCGGCCTCAGGTGCTGAACAGCAGCCGCTCCAAAGTCCTGTGCCTTCTCCTCACCCCCTCCATGGTGTGGAGACTGGTGTAGAGCTCTGGGAGAAGGGAAAAGGAGCACGTAGGGGTGAGGTGCAAACCTTGCTAGGCCGTGCTAGTGTGGCAGCCTACGGGTCCATTGCATTTTGGACCAGTTTTATCACTGAGTTCAGTCCTGAAGCAAAAAAGTGGAATTCATGAATTGGAGGAATTCAGGTTTTAATGCGTGTTCATGAGCTTAGTTCTGATGCTTTTTGGCAAGTATTGAATCTCTTCTACTCCTGGGCTCTGTGAGTTTTATTACTTTGTTCCTTCAGAAGTCTTAAACTGTTTTTCCCACTGCAGGTCCGTGTAGAACAGCATATTTCTTGCCATGTTTCTCCTTCCAGCTCTTCCTCAAAACTCTTCCTGTGCGCTATCCATTGACGCCTTTCTAGCCCCCAATCATCTGCTCGAATCTCTAAAACATGTGACTCATGTTCCATTTTTATATTAATCTTCACGTGACTCCTAAATCTTTCTGTGTGCATTTTCGTTTGTTTTCTCATTGGGTTGTAAATGAGCTGTTGTCACATCTGGTTTCTTGAGTAGGACTTTGGCCTTTCAGTTACACACCAAGTAATTCTTCCATTCTTTTCTGGTTTATAATCCTTACCTAAAGGGAGAGGGTGAATGTGAAAGCCTTAATTTACTTAGTGAAACAGTTGTCTACAAAAGAAGTTGCTTCAAAGACCAATTGCAAAAGCATCCAAATGTGTGGATCTTGAAGGATCTAGTATTGCCCTCTCTGGTTAGCGTAGAGAATGTTTAGTTGAAGCACTGATGTTTATTTTAAATTTTTTTAAGAGAAGAGGGAAAATACTTGAAAACACCAGGAGCTTTATTGAAGTTGACATACTTTGCTTAATGCAATAAAGTTTATTATTTCAAAACAACACCCAAAAAAGAGTGCATCTGTGAATAAAGTCACATCTTACCGGAAATTCCTCTCTAAATCTGAGAAACCTGGCAAACAGCCTTAGCTAAAAATACCCAAACCTACATGAGTTGTGCTTTGACTGCTGTGCTTACAGAACACCTGATGGTGGTAAAAGCAGAACTAGGGCTGTCCAGGGCACTCATGTTCTGTGCAGTCTCTGACAGGAACTCACGATGGACTTTGCTGGCCAGAAAGGACACGTCTGCTCTTTCCTCCAGTGTCAAAGTTACCAGGGCTGTGTCTTTGAGACTAAAGCCTTGCTTTAATGAACTCTGAGACGCAGACCTTGAGGTTTGGTTTGTTCACAGCCTCATTCTGTCCATTCAGCTCCCTGTGTTGGAGTGAATTTGTTTCCAGGGGAGGTCACCTCAGTTTTGAAGTTGAAACCTCCGATTTCACTCTGGAAAACTTGGTCAGTGTGTTGGTATCTCATGCGTGGGTGTTGTATGTGTTGGATTTCAGTCTCCCACTTGAGGAACAGAAGTGGCTGAAGCCCTGGGTTTGGCCTTGTCTTTCACTGCTGTGGTCTTTTAATAGAGCAACAGAGAATTGCAGCAAAAAACTGAAGAGAAAAGCTTTGTAAATTTTGTTTCAAAACTGTTGCTTTGAACCTTTAGTCAAGGGTAGGGAATGTTTGTCTCCCTTGGCAGGGAGTGTCAGTACTCTTTGTCATTCTGACATGACTGCCCAGGTCCCTGATTTTATCGTGGCCAAAATACTGTGCTTGGAAACCAAACCAGGAGCTGGTAGATAACAGCAGCTTGAAAAATGGGCTGATGCCTAATTGTTGTGACAGAAGGAATGAAAGGCTCGTGACATCTAAGAAAAAAATTGGGCTTTTCAGTGTCTACCTCAAGTTAGGATCACTGCCTGTGTCTTAGTGGAGGAAGATGTTTTTATAACTTTATTGAAACTTGTTAGTAAAATGTGCCTTAATTCATAAGTAAACAACCACTGTGAAATCTTTAAAAACCAAATGCAGATTTCCAAAGTGTATAAGTTGCTATTAATATTTTGACCATTCCTGTGGCATCTTTTTGATGTATAAATAACTTTGAGAACAAGAATGTGTTCTTAATTATAACACATTATCAGATCTGTTTACTGGTAATTATTTTACAAGGTTGAGAGAAGAGTTTAAGATGAAAGATGTGGGGTTACTTGCAAAGTTTTTGGTAAAAGCAATGCAGTTGAACCTGGTAGGGAAATTTGCCCTTAAATTGATTTTGGCAGATCTCATGAGTGTCTAAGGCAGAGGTCAACCCAACTGGAAAGAGCCTTTCAAGGGTGACTAAGATGTAACTAAATTACCTTTTTGAGAGATGGGGAAAGCTAATGTCAGTAATTAAATTTCTTTATGTTAAGCTTATTAAAAATGTAATAATATATAAATATTAAAATTATTTTAATGGTCTTATTTACGAGGTTTTCACTGCACTCATGTTAGTATTTCTGAGTGTTTGATTGTGACAATAATGGACAGCTTTTTGGTGTTTTGTTTTTTTTTTCATGTTTTGATACCTCGGTCAAGGCATTAACATTAAAAATCATTCAAAATTTTAATTCATCTTCAAACACCAAAATAGATTTGAAATGAGATTAATGAGAACAGTAGGGGAAAAAAACAAACCCAAGCCCCAAACCAAAACAAGCCCAAAAACTGCTCATTCAGGTTATTGTGGGAAAAAAAATCTTGCAAAATATTTACTACCTGTCTTAACTCAGGATGAGTTGAATGCTTGAAACAAAGCACTTCTGTCAACGTGAATGTTCAGTTTGAGAACGTGAAGATCCTGGGGTTGAATACTCTTAAAGCTGCACACGTTTCACAGCACAAAGGGAATTACCAGATCCCGTATTCCACTTGCGTGTGCTGTAGTTTTCCATTGTATTTTAAACAAGGAAGTCTGTAGAGCAGCAGAAAACAGGACATGTGGGTGGGTGTGAAAGTCAGACTGGAGCTTGTCGCACTGGTTCCAGTGCTCTTTGCTTCAGTGTAACTGGTCATTTTGAGATGAGACTGGGGAAACTGGGCTGCCAAGGCAGAGACTGTTGACTGGCCCCACTGGTTTTTTCTGGGCAGTGGGTAATTTCTGCCTCACTTGTCAGAATCAGCCCATGGTTATCAGGGAACTTCTAATTGTTTTTCCCTTTTTTCTAGTTTTGGTTAAAGGGAGCACTGTCACCCTGGGAAAACTCCTGGAATTCAGGGCCCATTGTGACACTCAGGTCCCCATGGAACAAAAGGAACCCTGGGACACTGCGGAAACTCCTGGAACCAAGGGACCATTGTGCCATTGAGGGGGCTGATGGAATCAGGAGGCCATTGGGACAATCCAGGGCCTCATGAAGTCAAAGGAATTCTGGAACACTGTCGAACCTCCTGGAACCAAGAGTTCCTTGTGACATGTCCTCCTGAAACCAAGGGAGCCCTGAGATATTTCTGAACCTCCCAGAATCCAGGGGCCATTGTGACCCTGCAGAACCTCATGGATTCCAGTGGTCCTTGTGAAACTGCAGGCTCTCCTGGAACACAAGGATTCCTGGAACTCTGCAGAACTGACGGAACCAAAGGGCCACTGTCCCACTGCAGCTACTTCTGAAGCACAAGGGACCCAGGGACAATGGGAAATCTCCGAGAAGCCAAAGGGCATTTTGGGACTGCAGGGCCTCGTGGAACTAAAGGAACCTTTGGAGACTGTGGAAGCTCATGGAATCAAGGGGCCATTGTGACCCTGCAGGGCCTTATGGCCCCAAAGGGACCCTGTTCCACTGTGGACCCTCATGGAACAAAAGGAACACCGGAACACTGCGAAACCTTGTGGAATTAGGAGGCCATTAGGATACTGCAGGGCCTTGTGGAATCAAGGGGCCATTGGGACACTACAAAGCCTCATTGAAGCCAAAGAATTCTGAGACTGTGCATCCTCATGGAACCAAAGGGCCACTGGGATATGCGGGGCCTCCTGGAACCAAAGGATTCCTGAGACACTTTGCAACCCCTTGGAATCAAGGGTCCATTGTGACATGTGGAGCCTCCTGGAAGCAAAGGAACCCTGAGAATTTTTGTGGGAATGAGTTAAGGCAGCAGCAGCTGCATTCAGTTAATGCAGATCACCAAGGAGTGTTTTGGCCTTGACTGGTGTTTTCGATCCAGAGAGTGCTGTCTGCCAAAGTGGAACCCCCTTGGAACGGTCTGCATGACCAGTCTGTGTTTTTGTCTCATGGCTGAACACAGCCGGAGGAAGATCATGTCCAACAGCAGCTCCATCCCACACTTCCTCCTCCTGGCATGCGAGGCCTGCAGCTCTTGCACTTCTGCTTCTTCCTGGGCCTCTCCCTGGCTGCCCTCCTGGGCAACGGCCTCATCCTCAGCGCCGTAGCCTGCCACCACCACCTGCACACCCCCAGGGACTTCTTCCTGCTCCACCTCTCCCTCACGCACCTGGGCTGCATCTGCACCACTGTCCCCAAAGCCATGACCAATTCCCTCTGGAACACCAGGAGCATCTCCTGCTCAGAATGAGCTGCACAGGTGTTTTTTGCTTTTCTTCTTGATCATAGTGGAGGTTGCCCTTCTCACCATCATGTCCTACGACCGCTATGTGGCCATCTGCAAAGCTCTGCACTACAGGACCCTCCTGGGCAGCAGAGCTTGTGCCCACGTGGCAGCAGCTGCCTGGGCCACTTGGGAAGCGAGTCTGGCCCTGGGGCTGCAGGAGCTGCCGCCCGAGCTGATGATCTCCTGAGCAGTCCAGACACGCAGTCACTGTCCCTGTCCTCTATTTCCTCCCTTTCTTACTGCAGGACCAGAAACGACTGTGCTGCTCTGCTGGGCTGGGGCGGGGCAGGGAGATGGGGGGACCGGGGAGGGACTGGACTGGGCAGTTCCAGGGAGTAGAAAACCCCAGTGTTCATCTGAAGTGTAGGAGTGGGCAGGGTGGGAGCACTACAGGGCAGAGGTGGCTCCAGGCTCTGGGAGCAGCAGCAGGAGCCCAGGGAGACACTGCCCCTACTGCAATGAACTGCCTGTGTGTGTGCGAGGGAAGGACTCGTGTCTCTGAACACCCCAGTGGGTGTGAGCAGTGCATCAGTCCAGCTCAGGGGTGGACACCTCTCAGAGCCCTGACAGTGTGTGTGACTCCAAGAAAACCCCCACTGTGCCAGGGAGTTATCAGATCCTTTGCTGTCACCCTCCTGGCATCCTGTGTAATGATGAAACTAGAAAAGGTGATCATCATACCCTGTTAATTTTCTAAGGGGAGAAATGTCACTGCTGGAAAGAAGTGTCACTGAAGAGGTGAAAAGAGGGAACATCATTGTTTTGTTCAGCCTGTTCCACAACAGGTTCCCCTGGAGCCCCAGGGACACCTGCGGGGAACCCAGAGGGGCAGAGAAAGGGCTACCTTTGGCTCTTGCTGTGCTGCTCAGCTGGGCCGGGCTCCTGGCACACAGGGAGCTCCTGGTAAGCGGGCAGCACTGCAGAGACACAGCTCTGCCCGGGAGCAGCTCCTCTGCACAGCCCAGCAGGGCCGAGGGCACTGCCTGTAGCCACGAGAGAAGAGAAGCAAGGCAGAGGGAGGTTAAAGGCAGTGGAAAGATGGGAGGTGTTCAGCTGAGACTTCCCTTGGGGACACGACTTCACACTCCTCTGCAGAGTGAGTCTACAGGTGCAGGGCAATGTCCCTTGTGTTCCTGGAGGAATCTCCTAAAGTTACCACATCCCACAGCCTTGCACCTCTGTCAGGACTCTCCCAGTTTCTCTGTTGCACAGGAAGAGGATGTTCTCCAGGGCAGGCCTTCCCTGCAGCACCGTCAGAGGGACAGTGCAGGTGGGCTCCTTCTCCCAGGGATGGCTGTGGGCTGGGAAGGTGGGGGTGCAGCCAGGGGTGCCCGGGGCTGTCCTGCAGAGCAGGGTCCCTGTGCTCCGGGGTTCTTCGTGTCAGGGCAGGGACCCTGCTGCCTGCCGGGCTCAGGTCTCATCCTGCCTGGGTAGTTGCCCACACCTCTGCAGGGAGAAGCTGTCGGTGGGTGGCGAGAACCCTAGCAGGAGCCAGGCAGGGTCTTCCTGCTGTTGGATGAGTGCTGTGGGAGGTCAGGGCTGCTCACAGATCCAGATCACACCAGCACATTTCCACTGTCAAATGGGAAGGACAAAGCACAATTATTAGGAAGGAAAGGAGCTTTTCTGAGGCAGTGTTTTCAGTTTCCTGCTCCTGAGGAATCAGGGGGTTGAGAAATGGAAAAGGAGCTCCCATGTTGGACAAGTCACTGAGACTCCTGAACTGGAACTTGGAATGCACAGTGCTTCTGCAAGCAACTTCCTAAAGTGCTTTCGGCCTCTGCTCTGCTTTTGACAGAAGCAGCATCACTTCTGCTGGACTCATCTGTTTTTTCTTGATCTACCCTTTTCCACCTGCAAAAAGAAAAGTTGCCCAGTCAGTGCCCTGCAAACAGGCAGGTTTCTCTCAGACCAAAGTGAGTGCACAGACATCCGCATGGAGTGCTGACAGGGAAATCATGAATGGATTTCTGATACTGAGTCTACTGTTTTGAAATCAGAAAATGTCCTGTTGAAGTCATCGTTAGCCTTTGAGAGGGAAACAGGAGAAAAATCGAATAAACTTGTTGCTAAAACTGAGCTGCTTCAAACTGAGGTTGACCACCTTCAAAGTCTTGTCAAAATTTTGGTGATTATGAAACAGTCAGCTCACCGATTACCCCCATCAATACTAGACAATGCCCACAGTATAAAGGCATAAAGCCCTCCCAGCCCCTCCAGGAGCCCTCAAATCCCATCCCGGTCCCACAGGACACTCCCAACTTCCCCTCAAACCCTCCGAGGCCCCCAGACTGCCTCCCAGACCCACAAAACCCCACAAGATGCCCCCAAACCCCTCCCAGTCAGCTCCAGCCCTCCCAGGACCCCTCAGACCCTCTCCTAGTTGCCCCCTTCCCCTCGAGGACGCCCCCAAACTCTCTCCCAGTCCCTTCCCACACCCCCAACGATGCCCCAAAACCCCTCACAGTTGCCCCAATCTCCCCAACCTCCCTCCCAACCCCCCAAGCTCCCCCAAACCCCTTCCCACTTACCTCCACGACCCCCAAGCCCTTCTCAGCCTCCCCATTCCTCCCCAAACCCCCTCTCAGTTGCCGGCCCATCCCCCAGGCTCGGCTGAGGAGGTGCCCCAGGCTGACGGATCCGCCCTGCCAGGGGCGGTTCCAGTAGCACGTCGGGAGCCACCCCCTGCCCCCAAAGCTCCCGCCCGCCCTGGAGCCGCCTCAGCTGCCCCTGCAGGGGAGAAATCCAGGCCGGAGCAGAGCAGGGGGCAGGGCCGGGCTGGGACCTCGATGGACGAGGGCACTGGGAGAGCAGGGGAGAGACCGGGATGGGCTGAGGGGGCACTGGGAGAGAGAGGGGAAAGTTTTTTGCCCCTTTCCTGGGCACTGGAACACCCTCTGCACCCCCGTTCCCGGCCATGCCGGCTCTCCTTCCCCCCCAAGCCATGAACAGGTTCTGGGGCTCCCTCGTGGGTCGCAGCCAATAGAACGGCTCTGCTGGAATGACGTCATTGCCAAATTCAGCTGGGCCCCTCTCCTCGCGCCGGTGAGTCATCCAATAGAACGTCGATACTTCCGCGGGGGCTGCCGGGAGCGGGGCGGGGGGGGCGGGGGAGGGGAGGGTCGCGATTGACCCCGATTGATCCCAATCGATCCCGGCCCCAGGGTCTCCCCCCGCCGTGATGTTTTTCACGTGCAGCCCCAACGAGGCCATGGTGGTGTCGGGTGAGTTCGGGGGGTCCGGGGGCTCCTGGTGACCCCTCCAAATCTCCCCCAAGACTCTCGGGAACCACCCAGATCCCCCCAAGACTCCTGGGGACCCTCCGAAAGCCCCCCTCCTGGGGGCCGCCCCTCCGCCTTTCCCCCTCTGTCACGGGTGACAGCGGGTCTGTAAGCACCTTGGCACGTACTGACGAAGCAATAGATGTTGACCAGATCAAAGTATACCCCTGAGATGGACTGAAAAGAGAGGACTGAAAATGGAGGCCCTGATCCTGACAACATACTGATGCATCCTGAAGAAGTTGTCCTGTGGGAACAGAGAACACTGTCTCATGAAAACAGGAGCACTGTCTCATGAGAACAAGGAGCTGTTTTGAACAAGAGTAGTTGGGAAACACATCAACATGAGAGAAAAATAAGAGCAGGTGCTCAGGACTGTTGTGGGAAAGAACTGGGCTGTTTTGAGAAAGAGCAAAGTTGTTGTGAGAGAGTAGAGTTTAGAAAATGCACCTATTAGCTGTAAGAATTCTGGTGTGAAAGTTTGAACTGTCCTATCCGTGTGCATTACGTGTGTTCAAAAACTGTACTTAAGGGGCTGCGCAGCAGCCCCGCTGTCCCTGCTTTTTTCTTGGAATAAACTTTACTGGAACCTTTTTTCGTGTCGCTTTGGCCGTTCCGACACTTTCAGCGACATCTGGCGACCCCGACGTGATTGCAACGTTGAAGACGGATTTATCTCCAATTGCAGAGCTGCCGTGACTTCCCTCCTAGAGGGGGAAAGAGCAGAGGATTTTCTCTCCTAGGGAGAGATTGGACCTGTGGGGCGAGGCACAGGGGGAACGGAGCCCGGTGAAGCTTGATAGCGGGGAGTTCCCGCGAAACGGTCCGGACCTGAACTTTTTGACCCTCATTAGGTAAGCTAACGGGGGTGCCACCGGGGACTATATTTTAACAATGGGACAGCACATAACGAAGGAGTAAAGTGTGGTTCTATCCACATGGAAATCCCTCCTAAGCCGAAAGAATGTCAAGGTTACTGATTTTGCTTTGCGGCGCATATTGTTGTGGTGCAGGAAGCAGGGCTTTGAGGCCACGTCTAGTACCGCGTTTAGTATATCTGCATGGTAAAAGGTCGGTGATAAGCTGTGGGATGAAATATCTAAGGGATCGAAAGACGCGAATGATCTAGCAGTCACCTGGCGTTGGTTGTTTGATACTCTGAAAGAGTGGCAGGCAGAACAGCAGACAGGAGAAAATGAAACTAAGTCAGCTTCAGCACAGAATGCTCCAAATTCCAAGGAAGGGAGCTCGACTGATACTAAAAAAGAAAAAGAACAGTCAGAGTCCTTGAAAAATTCAGATGGAGACTCAACTGGCAGCAATCCAGGCCAGTTGCAGGCTTCGCAGTGCTCGGACGGAGGCTTAATTAATAGCGAAACTGACACTAAGCCAAGTCGTAAATATCCTACGCCTAACGAGCAACTAGCTGCCAGCAAACATGAGTCTAAGCCGAGTCATAAATATGTTACAACTGAAGAGCAATTAAAAATGCCTCAGTACTGGACATCCCCGACAGATATCACCCCGTCTTCCTATAGGACCCCTGCGCAGCAGCTAGCAGAGTTTGAAGCTCAGGATGATCCACTTCATACTGTTTTGCCTAGTAGTGATGAGGATGAGGAGGCTCTAGTTAGTCATCCTGTCACTGATAACACGGAGAGAGCTGCCTACCAGCCCTCTGTCACTGATCGGAAGAAAGGAGCTGTTTCTCGGCCCCTTCGGAAAACAGCAGAACCGTGGACTCTGCCCCCTGTAACTGTTACTGTGATGCCTAGACATCCAGGCAAATTTTGGAATCAGGTGAAACAAAAGGCAGCAGAAATGGGGGACTGGAATCTGCTGGACAGGATCGGTTATCCCTCTGAGACGTGTGATGCAGCTGCGTCTACAGGTCCTGGGGCTTACCCGGTTTTCAAGGCGGTGCCAGGCTCGGGAAGACAGGATGAGCACACTCCATTTGCGTGGAAAGTGGTACAAGATTTGCAGATGTGTGCCTCTAAATACGGGATAAATTCCGCAGAGGTAATGAGACTGATAAGGGTGATAAATACGGATCAGTTAGCACCCTATGATATATCACATCTTGGACAAATTCTGTTTCAACCGATTCAGTATCAAGTATTTCTAGCAAATTGGAGAAAGCTTGCTGAGAGAGCAGCACTAGATAACATGCAGCTGCCTCAAGGAGACCCGAGGAGGGGGGCTGGTGTTGATGAATTGATGGGAACGGGTCCAGTTTTTTCAAACCCTCAAGTTCAAGCTCAGTGGCCGCCTGCAGTGCTAGAGCAATGTCAGTGTATGGGAATGTCAACACTCATACAAACAATGGAGCTAGCTGCTCCAAAGCCTAAGTATACCACAGTGAAACAGGGGGTTAAGGAACCGTTCCTGCAATTTGTAGAACGCATAGCCACTTCACTGGAAAAGCAGGTAGACGATGAAGATCTCAGACAAAGGCTGTGCCTGGAGTTAGCTAAAGATAATGCTAACGAGGATTGCCAAAGAATAATCGAGGCAATGCCTGGGAATCCATCAATCCCTGAGATGGTGGCAACATGCTCTAAGGTGGGATCGGTGGCTCATAAAATGACTGCATTAACTGCTGTCCTTCGACCTAATCCCGGATGCCATGGGTGTGGAAAGCAAGGACATTTTAAGGCTGAATGCCCAGTCCAGAAAAAGGGGAACAAGCAGAAAAATAAAGTAGCAGAGGCAGAAGTTACTTGTGGCCGATGTGGAAAGGTAGGGCATTTTTCTAAAGCGTGTAGATCAAAATATCATGTCAATGGACAGTTGCTGCAGGGAAACTGGAAAAAGAGCGCGATGAGGCGCGTGAGGATACCTCACCCAACCAATTCATACATGAGAACAGCCCCAATGGCTTATCCCTCTGCAACCGCCTCACCGGAAAAACCCGTGGAGCAGCAGGAATGGATGTATCCACAGCCGACACAAGAGATGTTGTCAAGGTGCCACTAGACGCTCATGGTCCAATAGGAAAAGGGTTTAGTGCACTGTTAATTGGACGATCTAGCAGTATCATAGCTGGGTTAGATGTTCGTGTGGGTGTCATTGATGCTGACTCTACAGGGCAGATTTCTGCAATGGTGTCTACTTCTTATCCTCCAGTGACTATACCTAAAGGGACTCGCATTGCTCAACTTGTGCCTTTTCCGAGTTGTGTTCCTAGAACAGAGCAACGAGAGCGGCAGTCTGGAGGATTCGGATCGACCGGACCACCTCAAATCTTCTCGTCCCAAACTGTTTCTGCACAATGACCGCAGATGACTTGCACCATCTACAATGAGACTTGCACGCCATTCTCGATAAAGGTTATGGGCTTATTGGATACCGGAGCGGACGTGACCATCATCTCTCAGCGCTCCTGGCCCGTGTCCTGGCCACTTGTAAATACGGGGATGGGGGTGGTTGAATTAGGAGGGACTGCTCAAAGCCATGTGTCTCAGTCGCCTCTAGCAATCATCAACTCTGAAGGGCAGAGAGCCACTGTAAAGCCTTATGTCACTACAGCACCTCTGACTCTTTGGGGGAGAGATTGCTTGGAGCAATGGGGGGTGAAAATCACAACGGATTTTTAACAGGGGCCACTGTCTTGCAGGGTGTTCGTCAACCTACACTTGCTTTAACCTGGCTGACATGTTCTCCAGTGTGGGTTTCTCAGTGGCCCCTGCCATTAGAAAAATTGCAGGCCCTGCAAAAGTTAGTGGCAGAACAACTTGCTGCTGATCACATTGAACCTTCCCATAGTCCATGGAATACCCCTGTCTTTGTAATAAAAAAGAAATCTGGCAAATGGAGACTTTTGCATGACCTGAGGCAGGTAAATGCTGTAATGGCAACAATGGGAGCCTTACAGCCAGGCCTTCCAGCACCATCAATGATTCCTATGGATTGGAACATTGTAGTCATAGATCTAAAAGATTGCTTTTTCACTATTCCATTGGCACCATCTGACAAAGAGAAATTTGCCTTTACTGTTCCATCAATCAATCATGCTGAACCATTCAAAAAATATCAGTGGAAGCTGTTGCCCCAGGGCATGAAAAATTCTCCCACAATTTGCCAGTGGTTTGTAGCCCAAGCGTTGTCACCTGTACGTGAACATTTCCCAGAATGCTATTGTTTTCATTACATGGATGATATATTGCTAGCAGCCAGCAAGGAGGAGCAACTGAATGAATTAGAAACATTAACTAGACAGTCTCTACAGCAATTTGGATTGATCATTTCACCTGAGAAGGTGCAAAAAATAGAGCCTTGGAAGTATTTGGGCCTTATAGTCACTGCTTGTAGAGTGATGCCACAACCTGTCAAACTTAACATTGATGTACAAACCCTAACAGATGTACAAAAATTGATGGGATCTATAAATTGGATTAGGCCTTATCTTGGTCTTACAAATACTCAGTTGCGACCCTTGTTAGAGTTGCTCAAACATTCTGCCAATCCTTTGGAACCTAGAACACTGTACTCTGAGGCAGTTCAAACAGTCCAGAAGGTAGAATCATTGCTGCACACTAAATTCGTATCTCGTATTGACTTAACACAAATGGTTCAGTTGTTTGTTTTTATAGACCACGTGACTCCTTTTGGTGCACTTGTGCAGTGGAATACTGAGTGGACTGACCCTCTGCATATTTTGGAGTGGTTATTTCTACCTTTTAACCCTCACAAAACTGCTCCTGGCCTGTTTGAACTTCTTGCTGAAATAATTATGAAAGCCAGAAAACGATGCATAGAATTACTGGGAAGAGATCCAAGTCAAATTGTTGTACCTGTTCAGTCTACGTATTTTGAATGGTGCATGGCTCATAAGTATGAACTGCAGGCAGCCATGTCTGACTTTCAGGGACAAGTTTCTTATCATTTGCCCTCTCACCCTCTGATTAAATTTTTTCGTGAAGTGCCTGTAGGACAGAAGATATTAAGTCAATCAGAACCAGTTGATGGACTCACGGTTTTCACAGATGGCTCTGGAAAGACAGGTAAAGCCGTTGTAGTCTGGCATGATGAACACGGCTGGCATGATAAGGTAGTCACACAAGAAAGGTTCACCTCAAGTAGTTGAATTGTGAGCTGTAACTGTAACCTTTCACTTATTTCCACAACCTGTAAGTATTATTACTGATTCTGCTTATGTTGCTAATTTACTTTCTCGTTTAGATCAAACTGTTTTGTCCTCAGTTGACCAACGAAAGCTGTTTACAGTTCTTTTAGAGTTATGGACAACCATAAACAGAGAACTGCGCCGTATTTCGTTCTACATATCCGCAGCCATACTACCTTGCCAGGGTTTTTCACTGAAGGTAACGCCAAGGCAGATGCTCTTGTATCTGCGATAGCTCTGGGCCCTACACCCAATATACACCAACAGGCTCTCTTATCACATCAGTTTTTTCATCAGAGTAGCACTGCACTGCGATGACAGTTCGGAATAACTCAAGCTGCAGCACGCTCTATTGTTGCTGCTTGTCCTGACTGTCAGGGAACTTACATTCCAATATATTTTGGAACCAATCCGAGGGGCATTAAAGCTCTAGAAATCTGGCAAACTGATGTCACTCATATTGATGACTTTGGTCATTTCAAATATGTGCATGTGTCAGTAGATACCTTTTCACATGCTATAGTTGCCATAGCCCATTCTGGAGAAAAGGGAGGTGATGTAATCCGTCACTTTCAGCGTGCTTTTGCTACTCTTGGCGTTCCTCATGAAGTCAAGACAGATAATGGCCCGGCATACGTTTCGCAAAAGGTACAAACCTTTTTTGCAACATGGGGTGTAACTCATGTTACCGGTACCCCACATTCTCCGACAGGACAGGCTATTGTAGAGCGTATGCACGGTACCTTGAAAAGACAGCTTCAAAAACAAAAAGGGGGAATGAGTCAGGAGCACCCTCAGGCACGGTTAGATAAAGCTGTATATGTGCTGAATTTTTTAACTTTTCCTGGTGACTCCTCTTACTCACCTTTTATGCATTTTTCTTCTCTTTCTTCCACGAAGCCATTATCACGCAATGCTCCAGTGCAGGTTCAAGATTTGGTTTCAGGCCAATGGTCTGGACCTCATGAACTTATAACTTGGCGGAAAGGATATGCTTGTGTCTCCACAGGTGATGGCCCTCGTTGGGTACCTGCCCGGTGTGTCCGTCCTGTGCTTGATGATCCTTCCCGTCAACGGATGGATGGTCCTGCAACACAAGCACAATGTGTGGGTGACCCTAGCTGAGATGACCCATCAGGAAACCTTGTGCCTTTCTCTAACCAACCCAGAGAATCCTTTTTCTGCCTGCCTGGTCAGACTACCTCTGGATAAGTGGCCTTGTCCAGAGTTCCAGAAAGTCTGCAACAGCTCTGCACCAAAGATCAATGTTGATAACTAGGACCGAATTTATGCATACTTACCTCAAGTAACACAATAACCTCAAGAACTGGAATTGCTAGGCTCAGTGGTCATGGATGCTTGTATAATGTTTAATTATACATATAACTCCAAGAGAAGAGGACAGAGCGTGAATGCAACATTGCCTGTATATAGAAATGCTACTGCTTGGTGTAATTATACTTCTAAGCATATTTCACGATCTTTTAATGTACCTGTTGCTTTACCTGTTGGAGTTTTTCTTATTTGTGGAGATAGAGCATGGGGTGGAATTCCATCTAAACTGAATGGTGGGCCATGTAGCTTGGGGAGGCTTACTCTACTCACTCCTAATCTTACTATGATTCATAATAAAAGGCGAGGGAAGCGCAGCACTCATCAATTTTCAAAACAATGTGATGATCGGGTAACCTTTTGGGGACCTGGGGAAATTATAGCAGCATCAGCGCTTGCACCTGGAGTTGCAGCAGCGACAGCATTAAAAAATGCTACTTCTATTGCACTGAGTGGTCTATTAACTGACGTAGATAGTGTTAGGCATGCCACACTGCAGAATAGAGCTGCAATTGATTTTTTGTTGTTAGCACAAGGTCACGGTTGCAATGAGTTTGAAGGAATGTGTTGCATGAATTTGTCGGACCATAGTGAATCCATACACAGAAGCATTCAGCTTTTGAAAGGTGTCCGCAAATTGCAAATTGATGATGGATGGGATTGGTTAAATAAGTTGTTTAGTAAATGGGGTTTGTCTGGTTGGCTGTTATCCATCATAAAAACAGGATTGCTGATTTTGGTAATTATTGTAGTTGTGCTATTAATGATGCCCTGTTTGATCAGCCTGTTGCAAAGGGCCCTGCAGCAGACTGTTAAAGACCATCTTTGTAGCACAAATACAAAAAGGAGGAATTGTCACGGGTGACAGCAGGTCTGTAAGCACCTTGGCACGTACTGACGAAGCAATAGATGTTGACCAGATCAAAGTATACCCCTGAGATGGACTGAAAAGAGAGGACTGAAAATGGAGGCCCTGATCCTGACAACATACTGATGCATCCTGAAGAAGTTGTCCTGTGGGAACAGAGAACACTGTCTCATGAAAACAGGAGCACTGTCTCATGAGAACAAGGAGCTGTTTTGAACAAGAGTAGTTGGGAAACACATCAACATGAGAGAAAAATAAGAGCAGGTGCTCAGGACTGTTGTGGGAAAGAACTGGGCTGTTTTGAGAAAGAGCAAAGTTGTTGTGAGAGAGTAGAGTTTAGAAAATGCACCTATTAGCTGTAAGAATTCTGGTGTGAAAGTTTGAACTGTCCTATCCGTGTGCATTACGTGTGTTCAAAAACTGTACTTAAGGGGCTGCGCAGCAGCCCCGCTGTCCCTGCTTTTTTCTTGGAATAAACTTTACTGGAACCTTTTTTCGTGTCGCTTTGGCCGTTCCGACACTTTCAGCGACACCCCTCCCCCCCCAAATCTTCTGTGCGTCCCCTTAACCCTTGAAAATCTCCTGGGACCACATCAGACCCGCAAACTCCCTCCTGGGGACCCCCAAATCCTCTTCAGGAATCCTGGGCCCCTCCTGACCCCATCCTAAATCCTTTTGGGTCTCCCCAACCCTTTAGGGTGGATTCCTCCGTCCATTTTTCCCCCCAGACTGCTGGGGGTCAACCCCCCCAAGAAACTACTGGGAACCCCCCAGTGTCCCACCACGAGATTCCTGGGTGCATCCCCCCCAACCCCCTGTGGGTGCCCCCATCCTTTCCCCCCCCCCAGAAAATACTCTTGGGGGTCCCCCAATGTCCCCCCAGCCCCCATCCTACTGGGGATGTATTTGGGGGGCTCTCCTTCCCCTTCCCTCTGGCCCGATGGCAAATGCCCTCCCTGTCCTTCTTCCTTTGCCCTCAGGCAGAAAAGAGAAGAGAAACAGCCAGTTGGCCCTGGCAGGTGTGGGTGTGTGCAGGCTGTGGTTGAGTGGTTGACAAGGGAGAGGAGGGGCTGGTGTTTGGGCAGAGTCCAGTAGGTGATGTCTTTCGTGTCTGGCAAGGCAAGGCAAGGCAAAGAGGAGCTTCTGTGCTGATGCTGTCACTTGTTTTTTGTGTCTGTTGGAACTGGAACAAGGATGTTTGTTCAGGAAAAGTGCTGCCCTAGGATACTGCCCTACTCCACATGGCCCCTTCCCCAGTCACATGTTGTTCTTTCTATTTTACCAGCAGTCCTTGGTCGGCTCCACGACCATCCAGCTGTCAGTGTTCACGACCTACCCATCAGCCCCTTCTCTTCTGGGTTCCTACACTTGCCAACCCTAAGCTGCTCCTAAGTTCTCTTGCTGTCAGTTCATAAAGACATCTTGTCGAGTGTTACTGATTTAGAAACTAAACCCTGACATCTTTGTCTTTGCAAAAGACATGTGTGAAAGGGCAGTGCTGGTGCAAAGCAGTGTTGAGCTTCACATTGGGTGACTTGGCAGCGTCCTCTGCATCACCCATGCACCCTGAGTTTCTTTGAAAAGTACTTTTCACTCCAAATGTGACACCACATTAGCCTGTAGGACATCCTATCCCCAAATGGATAACTGTAAATATTAATAATAAAAAAGTGACCCCCTCCATTTTTCAAGAAAAGCTTGTACCTCTGCACTAAAAGCATCCAAGGGTCATGTCCCCCAGTTTTCTATCTGACAAGGGTTTGGAGGGGCTGCTTTGTGCAGGGAACCCTTTGGGTGCCCCTTGCAGATGGGTGGGGCTGCACTCTGGAGGTGTGGGGCTTTGGTTCTTTGGTTGCCAGGGGCCACTGTGAGTCACTGAACCGGGGTGGGGACAATGGACAGGGCTGGCTGGGACAGGCTGTGGAGCCTGTGACATAAAAGGGAAGTGTCCCCGTGGGGCAGCTCTGCAGGGCCCATCAGGGGATGCTGCCCAGTGCAGCCTGTGCTGTGGGGAGCGCGCACACAGGGAGAGGCTGGGCCGGACGAGGGCCGGGGCAACAAGGCCGCCCCAGGGAGTGGGTTCTGCCCCTGCCTGCAGGGCCCAGCCCCTGGCAGGAGTGCCTTGGGCAGGGCCCGGTGCTGCTGCTGGGGCAGGGGGTGAGAACTTGCCGCCTGCCAGCTGCCTGGGCCCCTGTCCTTTCTGCACCATATCCCCAAGGCTCCCATCCCCCTCCCCCAGCGCCAGCCCCCTCCTTCCCAGCCCCAACCAAGCCCTTCTCTGTGTCCTCCTGCAGGCCATGGCTTTCACAATATTCCTTTTGATGTTTGTGCAAAGCATCATCCAGTCCCTGCAGGCGGTCGGGGAGGGGCTGCACAAGACTCAATTATCTTGGAGGTCTCTTGGATTCTGTGATCGTGTGCTGGATTCGGCTGGGTCCGTGTTAGCAGCATTAGTTTGCTCCCAAAATTTCCTCGCTGTCAGCTCTTGTGGCCTAAGGCTTGAGCTCCTTTACCTCCTTGTGCTGAGCTGCTGATGGGAAACGAGAGGCCTCTGCGAGCAGATTCCTGGTGTTCCCTGTAGAACAGTGAGGGGGAAGGTGTTGTCAAGTGGGAAGAGGAGTACTTTTTTTGTGTGGCCTCCTATGTTGCCTTGGCACCTTTGAGGGGCTTGAAGGAGAAAAGAGTTTTGTTAAAGTGAGAAGGGAAATAGTGTGTTGGTTGTGGGAATGGGAAGGGAAGAGGAACGTGGAACAGGAAGGGAAAGAGGAATGGAAAGGCATCTGCTGATGCTGTCATTTGTTTGTTATGTCTGCGTGTAGCAGGGAGATTGCCAAAACTGAAACCAGTACACAGTGGAAAGTTGAACAAAACAACATTTATTCCAAAGAAAGTAGCAAACAAAATGAGAAACCGAGAGACAGAAAAGAGAAGGGAAACAAGCCCCCGAGACCACACCCCATTGACTCAAGTGTTACTTACCAGGTTGTCTTACCAACCCCAGAATGCTTAGAATTCCCCATAGCAGAAGCTGCATCCTCATTATCCTTATGAGCCAATTTTAATTAATGTGAGGATAGCTGGGAGACTGTAGAAACATCAGTTGAACTTCAAAGTCTCCTGGTTTCTGTCCCTCCTCAGACTTAGAATCAGGGTTCTCTGGTTTCCCAAGTCTCAATGCCAGGGTAAGACACTGGTTTATGAAGTTGCCTGAACCAACGAGGAACCTGTTTTTTTTAGCAACAGTTTTCTCTCTTCACTCTGGTGCAACAAGATTTTGAAGGTGGTCAACCTCGGTTTGAAGCAGCTCAGTTTTAGCAACAAGTTTCCCACTCAAAGGCTAATGATGACTTCAACACCAAATTTTCTGATTTCAAAACAGTAGACTCTATATCAGAAATCCATTCAGAAGCAGGTGAATTTTTAGCTTCTTATTGTGCACAAGACAAAAAGGCTTTTAACACTACACAAATTGTACATTTACCATTTCCTTTCTTACATTTCTGCTTAGCCTGATATTGTTCCATGCATATCACAATTTTCTCCTTAACTTTCTGAAACCTTTGAACCAAGTCTTTCCCAACCTGGGAAGGCAGAGATTTGTATTTTTGCAGCAGATTATCCTTGACAACCCTGCTTCACTGCACCAATTTAATGCTACCCAAAAGGAGGGAGTTTAGATTTTTGCCTGTCAGTGCCCTCAGGAAAGTCGAGACCCTTGTGTCCAACCAGTCCGTGTAATGAGATCCTTCACGTAAAGATTCACAAGATCAGAGGGTGATTTGAGTGCCCTTGTCAGGGGGCTCTCAGCCAACAACATGACGACTCCTCAGCAGACCCTGCTGAAGTGTTTCCCGCTGCTGGCAACTGAAAGAACTCACTCCAATAGTTCCTGGAATAACACTCTTTATTAATACAAATTGTGACAGGTTAATAAGGTTTGTCATCGGTGGGGATAAGGTCTGGCTGCAAAAATATGTTTTAGAGCAATCTTCTGACATATATGAAGCAAGCACGAGCTCTGGTCCTAAAAGCCATAGTTAACATGCCTTGCCAGTGCCCTTGACCATCTCCAGCACTACTTGTCCTGTGCTGTCCCACAGCTGCTTCTGTTTCCCTGCAGGCTGCAGACACCCACCCGGCTTCCCCCGGCTCTCAACCCTGCCATTTGCAACCCTTCCCTGACCACTGCCCACCCTCACTCTCTCTTTCTTCAAATACAGACATGGACTGATCTCCTCCTCCTTCTGGATACTTCTCTTCCCACAGCAATGCCCTTGCAGGGACATTTCTTTCTCCTCGTCCCCTCTCTCCACTTTTCCAACTGCAGTGTGGGGCAGTATCTCTGTCTCGGCAGTTTCCTTCCTCCTAGGAAAGCTCCAGCAGGTGGGACACAGCCTTTCCAGCAGCATGCCAACCCCTCAGCCTTCCTGGGGCCTTTCCGTGTGCTGTCCCCAGGCTGCTCCTTTCAGCTGCTGGCAGAGACAGGGCCCAGCTGTGCCTGCTTACTGTCCCATCCTGCACTCAGCACGAGGGACGGGGCAGCCCAAAGAGACTCCCCATTGCTGGAGTGAGCCCAGGCCCTCAGGCAGAGGGGATCTCCCAGTCCCTGTGACAGCCTGTTGGTCACAGCCTTGTGCTGGGCTGTCAGAGACCCTGCTCTGCCCCTCTCTGAGATGCCCCACGGCCTGAGGGACAGACACAGGGAGCTATGTTCACAGAAGCGCATCCCAGGGCTGCATTCAGGTGGTTCCCAAGGGGATATGACTCTCAAAATGAAGTGATCTCAATACACTGTCCTTCCTGGCCTCTCTAGAAGTAGCCGATGGCGTTTGTGCTCATTCTGATTCCTCTCTCCACACACACACAGAATGTGAATGCTTAACTCCCTTCTTTACTGTGCAAATATGCTCATTTGATGTTCCTCCATGGGGGACAAACTGTAGGAGGCCTGTCCAAAAGTACAGGGGGACACACATAAGGCAGGGAGCCTGAGGGGGCATGTGCCTAAATAGACAACCCCATTGGTCACATGGTCACATGGTTTTAAGGGATAAAAGGGAGCACCAGATTTGAATAAATCCTCTTTGATTTCCACCTCATCAGAGAGCAGACTGCATTTCTTTATTATATAAAGACCCCCACACAACAACAAACAACCCTTATGAGGTGGAGAGATAGACCAGTGCTGGGAACAGTGATTGCAAGGGACTGGTCTGTGATGAGTGCACTGGGGCCTCTTGAGCAGGGGGGCCAGAAAATAGGGTCACAGACCAAACCATTTTGGTCGCTGTTGGTCCTTCAAGAGTATTCATGGAGACCTGACTGTGGAAGGGACAGGGCTGTGTGCCCCCATCCTATGCAGTCACCCACTTCAGCTCTTCAGTGGTGTTTTATGTAGCAGGAAACTTTCTGGAGGTTGGTCTTGGCAGCAACTTTGAAAGAACACTTGAGCCTTCAGGCACTGCCCTGAGGAGATCTCCTTTCCTTTTGGAG